TAGTCATTTTTGGACCACTTAATAGGCGTTTAGTAAAATACTTTTGTGTGTTTTCCGGAGTGTTTTTGATGCTCTATCTCATGGTGGAATCAATTCTACGCTTAAGTGCTGCCTAAATCCGTCAGACAGATTTTGGTGTCTCCCTACAATTTGTACGGAAAACTTAATTCTCTAAAAGAATCTGTACCAAAGTGCTGAAGCGAAATTGTAAATAATATGGATGGATAGAGAATTTTGCGCTCTACACAATCCACTGGTCTGCTTTTTCTTTATCATCTGTCTTTGATGTGAAAATCGCGTTTTTATTCATTCTAGTCAAGATAAAAGCGCGTTTTTCTGCTTTTTCATGCGTGTATCTCACTCACCTGAAAACATAGAATGCTCAAAATTTGATCGGTAGTGAGAGTTGACGAGATGAGTAAAACAGAAAAAAAATTTAGGAATCCGATAAACCACTACGGATTTATGGCAGAAACGGTACTAAACAACCAATTGTACAATTAATATACGATTCACTCATATATATAAATATAAGTGTTTAGATTGTTCACTTAATTGGTACTATAACATTCAACAGTTCTGAGTTTATCAGCTAATAATCAGAAAGTTTGTTTAGTTTTCGTACGATCATGGTTATTTTGATCTATTGTTCCATTCGTTCAATTAGGCTATCTCTCGCTATCTAATACTATTGACTTGTGATACTATTCTATTCCATTGTTGGCTCATTTAAATGCGTTTGCGTCCATGATAAAAATATTTAAAAAATAGATTTTTCACAAATAAATTACTTTAAAGAAAACAACAAAATATAACCCTACAAAAAAAATAAAATAATAACACTGAAAAAAATAGAAATTGCACGTAACTATTACGAGATTTCTGACAAAGTGAGATAATTATCATAGATGTAGAGAATACTAAATAGTATACCAAACTTCTTAATATCAGAGTTTGAATTCTGTTCCATTGAAAGGAGAAAATCTAAAGAAATGTAGAATGTAGTTGAATATCAAAGAAAATGAAATTCAACTTGTATTCATTAAGAATACATTTTGCATCTTGTATCAGTTACAACGTATAATCATCACTGTTACCAGCTTCTGGTATCGTCGACAGTGATTCACATTGATTAGTGAATGCAAAAAAGAAAGCTGTATAAGATCCTGGTTCCGTTTCAACAAATAGCGCTCCATCCTGATACTCATCTTCATTATTCTTTCCAACTGTTTGATTTAAATGAACATCATCAACACCTTTTGTCGGTTTATTCTGATACAATGCTCGTTTTTTCCCATAATGTTCTTTACTCAATTTAGTTTTATCATCATATTTTGTTCCAAAAACGATAATATTTGGATCACTTTCTAAATATTTATCTAAAACTGAAGCAATTTCGTCAGCGGACAATGCTGTTGATTGTGTTAAATCTTTTATTGGAAATAAATTTTCACGTATATAGTCTAATGCTAGTGTATCCGCGTTACTTTCCAATGGTGTAAAACCATCATCTAATGTAGAAAATTGTTCTAATAATGAGTTTTTATAATTATCAATAAAGTATATGTGAACATTTGGTTCATGCAATGATTGTATATCAATATTAACTTGATACTGTTCAGGATTTTTCTCTTGATCATCTGTTGTTATTAAATTATAATGACTCATACCAGTTCGATTAGATTTATATTCACCATTGTCTGTTGTTATTTTAGCTTTGAGAACACCATACACTTTACCTGGTGAAAAACTCAAAAGTTCCATCTATAATAGACAAAACAAGTATAGGAATATATTTTAATAAGCAGTGTCTGTTTCTCATTTTTTAGACTAGCTTTTATAACGGTTGAGTACATCAATACTACGAAAGGGAACAATAAAAAGTATATACTTAAAATTTTGTGCTAAAGAATCAAGTATGAAAACTATTTTCTTTTATAATAAAGTGAAAAAGCAATTAAATTGAATGATCATAGCAATCGTGTGACTCTGCTACCAGAAGTATCAGAGTGTGACCATTTTTTGCTCGTTTTGTTTATCTTATAAAAACTGAATGAGACACCATAGAGAGATGAACGATATATGAAATTTGTAGAGAGAAATGTACTCTTCAAAATTCATGCGAAGATCAACACGTTTCATTTCGTTCCGTTTTTAAACTATACTTAAAATATTAGAAATCTCTGAAAAAATTAACTTATTACTCAACTCTCTAGAATATCTCGTTCGGTTTTCATACAATAAACAATAAGAGCTCATAGGAAGAAATATTTGGCTAAACAAATTTAATGACAGATGTGCAAAAACTTCATTTTTACCTAAAAAATTGTATAAAATATCTTAAGACTTTCTTGAGATATTCAATTTAACGATAGTTTATATAAAAAATGGATTAAATTTGATCATCATTAACAAAAAAAAACAGTTCATGTCCATAGAATTTAAAACTGAAATTTGATGATTATGTTGATTAGTATAGTTCAATTGTTTTTTTCTTCACGCTTTTTTGCAATACAAACCCAATTTTGGTTCATAAAAAAAAACTGGCAAAATCATCTAATCATTGACTAATTTGTTATCAAACTCATTCACGAATGTAACATGTACCAAAGAACAACTAACTTTCATGAAACTTATTTTTTTTTTCCTATAACAAATTACAGATATCGATCAAATCAACAAGGTAATGTTAATATTGATGCTCATACCGCTATATGAATAATATTGGCATACAACTTTTTAATAAGACAAAATAGTGATTGATAAGATAGTAAGACATTTCCATAGCAAAATATTCTATAAAATATCATGCTCAATGGAGTGACTCAAAAAGAAATGTTTTATGTGCTATATAAAAATATCTTGCTATTTTCACACTAAAATATCAATTAATATAACACATACTAAATTGACAAAATAATTTTAATGAAAAACAACAAAATAATCAATCATTTTTCTAATTGTACAATTAATTTCTTTCGTCTATCACGAAACCGAATCATATCGGTCTTACTAATTCATACAGATCAATTCAAAATGTTTTCTTATTAGTTGAGAAAAAAGAAAAAAAAAAAAACCATTGTACATAATTTTTTAATATAAATAATGTATTAAAAAAAAAACCAAAAACAAATGAGATGTATGAAAAACACCATATAAAATAAACACAAGATAATTTGACAAAGCCCCGAAAAAATAGAATACATACAAAATGTGAACGTGAAAAATACTAGAAAACTGTTGTAATAAGAAAAATAATAAACAAAAGGTTAATAATACTTTTGAGAGAGAGAAAAAAGAGAGAGAGAGAGAGAGAGAGAAATATTATAATCGCGTTATTTTATTATTCGTTGTCTCTGTTCCTGTCGATGTTGTTATTGTACTATTAATATTTGAACATGTTGTAGAAGATAAAGATGGATAACAATTTCGAAGTTGATTCTCATTGTTACAATTATTGGTAGATGATGAATAACTTAAACTTAATGGATCGATTAATACTGAATAAGTATCATCTTCATCATCAGTATCATTATCACTTGGAATATTTTCTAATAATGATAAATCAAATAATGTTGAATTTCGATCAAATGATCGTAATCGATGATTTTGTACAACATATTGACGATATTTTTCATTTGGTTCAAATTCAATTGATTCATTTATCTCATTTTGTGGGCCTACATCAACAGGACGTTGTCCTGGAGTAAATACTGGTGAATAATCAATTTCATCATCGTTACAATCATCATCACTACTGAGATCGGGTGGTGGTTTTGAATAGCCAAGTGGAGGACGTATGGGTCCTGTTATTTTCTTTCGATATCGACCACTTCGTGTAACACCACTAAAATTCAAAAATAATTATTGATCAAAGAAAGATGACACAAAAAAACAATTATTTATACCTATCAATAATAGATGGATTTTTAATTTTCCTTGTTCTTGATAATACTGGTGGTGGTGAAGGTGAAATTATTTCACTAACAATTGTTAATTCACTGGGTACAGTTCTAATTGTTTGAGGTTGATTTAATGCGGGAAAATTAAAATTTTGATTGGATTGAAAATGAAAATAATGATTATTTCGATAATGATGTTTACTTTTTTCTTCATCACTCTCTGTTTCCATCATAGTAGGAAATCGAGTTTCACATAATGATGATGTAATTAATTGACCAATATTTGTCATTGCATGATCTTTAGTATGTAAATGACGAGTACGAATTGAATCATTTCCGGATGTTGGAGCATCTGTCGATGAAATTGTAGTAGTTGTTTGATCATCTTTTGTTGAATCAGCATAAAAATATTTATTTATTAAAGATTTTTCATCACCTTCATCGTCTGTTATTTCATTAACACTTAGATAACCAACTGTTTCAAAGAGAGTGGAACTGGGTAATACAAGTGGAGGTTGTTCATGAATATTTTGTGCATATTGTGGTAATTGTTGTGTTTTTGATGAATGATCACCTACCGAAGAAGAAAAATAATAGAATAATGTGCAACATTTTCAATAGAAGTTTTGGTGGCGGGGTGAAGAGTCTATTGAGTAACTAAAGTTTTTTCTTGAGTAATGAACGCATTGTTTGACTAGAAGTTTTTTCTGACTAACTGCATGTTTTAAGCTAATTGAAGACTGACAGTCTTCAGGAATTGTTCTTCAATAACGTGTGTTTTGATGCGACCTCAACGTCATCTTTTTTTTCCAGTTCAAAAAAGGGTATTTATGCTTGTTTAAGGAAAATACAGTGACAGAAACCTTAAACAAATGAATATAAGTGTGATTATTCTATAAGAAAGGCACATTATTTGATATGAGCAATCGTCATGTTTAGCCTAACGTGTCTCTAACTACAGAAATTCTATCCTCTATGCTATACGTTTAGCTTTACACCTTTTTTTTCGATTCAAGGTGCTTTAATACCTAAGAAGCAGATATGCTTAACAGAAAGTTACTTCTTAACGTTAACACTTACGTTATTACGGTGATAACGTAAACCATGCCTGTATCTTTTTCAGCGTAAGAAAGAAAGAAAAAACACATAATATCCGAATATTAAAACATCGAAGTACCTAAAAATCACCTACTCAGGTGCGTAAGAACCAGTTTCTCAGCAAATAAATGAATTACTCAGAAGGTAGAGAAAATCACTTACTCAGGTGCATAAAAGACAGTTTCTCGACTTAAATTTCTTCAAAAATTTCTGAATAAGTCAAAATTTTTTGACTAACTTTATCCAAACGAGGGGGTGAATTTCCACCCCCTAATCGATAACGCTGATAATGTGAATAATGAAACAAACTTTGAACGTTTCATAGTTTTACAGATAAAATTAATAAGATGATCAAGTTCTAGAATACGTCAAATATATTTTTTTCGGAAACATTTTATCAGTAGTATCTCTATCAATACAAATATTTTATCTCTATTGTTAAATCTGTAACATTAATACAAAGAATCTGAATATTTATATTCCTTGCAGTATTCTGAAATAAAAAAAACCCAGACTGTTTTCATTGTTTCTATTTTCGAAACATTAATTATTCTATTCTTTCATCTAGTCAGTTTCCTCCTTATATAATGAGACGTTGTCTTTCCTTTTTTCTTATAATATATTTTGCATAAATCTTTCTTTTCTTCTTACTTGAACTTGCTGAATATGTTCGTCGTTCTCGTTGTTGTAAATGATCAAAAAGAACTATGGGTGATGATAATAATGGTTTCTGAATTTGTTGTTGTTGTTGTTTATCGAAATGAAAGCGTACAACTAAAGCAGCTAAATTCTCTTTTGCACCGTAACTTTGTGCTAAATCTACCAAATGTTTTGATGCTAATATTGGATTTGAAATTTGACGAATTTCTCGTACAGCTTCATCATGTGATAAGTGCTAGAAAAAAAAGAAGAAAATGTCGTTAGTACTACACTTAAATGGTCAAGTCATTGACTAATTTTGTTTAGTTATGATCATATTTTTAAGATAATATAACGAAATGACGTTTAAACTGACCTGCCATAATAAATTATTTGCTATAATAAAAAATTCATCCGTTTTTCCTAATACAAATGATGATATATTTGGATTGGGTATAATTGCAGGATATAAAAATGTACAACCGAGCATTCGACTTTGTGTTGTAACTGCATTTATTAAATTATCGTCATTAATAATTGTGTTTGTTTTACGAATTCTTTTACATTCTTTTTGATCATTTGGTAATGTAAAACGTCGAGTTAACGGATGTACGACACCCGAACGACATAAAACCGCTTCACAATGACCAACATTAGCCACATTTAATTCGAAACGATAATCATTTGACGAGGAAGAAGAAGAAACAGTTGAAGTAGTTGTTGTTGATGAATAATTACTATTATTATTATTATTATTATTATTGTTGTTGATGTTCGCTTGTTCATTTGTTAAATGAGAAGATAATGGACGAATATGGATAACTGTTGCTGCAGCACCCAAACGTTGACCAGTTGTTTTCAAGCGTCTAAAGATACACAAGTGACGTTTCCTAATATAAATATAATCCTTTACGCCCGACAACTAATCATGCAAATCAAACTTGAGACGTGTATACTTTGGTTTAGATTTGATGAAAACTTTTTTGTTATTAGCTTAAAGAGTGTTAGCTTACGCTGAAAAAAAATCCGATTGAAAACGTTTTGATTTAGCGCTGCACTACTTTTTTCTAGCAGTTATGGTGATGTCTTCTGGAAGAGATAATCGAGCATAAAGGGTTGAATAGGAAAAAAAAACGGGCAAGCTTAACGTCAATCAGGCTAACGTTAAGTACACTTTCTACGAACTAAAATCAATAAATTCAAATCTGTTCGACTTTATCGATGTCTTTCTTCTGATCTACAAATGGAACAGAATAGACTAATATCATACTTTTGTAATGTGAGAAACGTATGTTTTAAATAAATATTTGCTTGTTCACATTGTTCATATTCACTATGTAAGACATCTGGTAATTTATTCTGTAAAATTAATGGTACTTCATTATTATGACCACCATCAAACATGGCAAATAATGCTTCATGTGATGAATAATGAAAATTTGTTTCGTTCACTGTTGTTATTGAAAGTCTGAAGATTAAAACATTTAATTAGTGTTAAATATCAATAATATTGACATTTCTAAATTAAGAAGTATAAAAAAAAATGTGTTACCTATATCGAATACCGGAACTTTGTGCAAATCCAACAGACCACGGTAAATAGCCAAAATTATTATTTAATATAAGTGGCGATGATGAAACATTGACGAGTGAAACGATTTTATCGCTAAAAAGTAAAATAATATAATAATATATACACAAAAAAAGAACTAAATTTTATTTAAAAACCTTAAATTTTCAAGACTTTGTTTTTCAATATTAATTTCTTTATTACAAGCTAAATCCAATACAGTTAACGATGATGGAAATAAATTTTCGATTGTATTAATTTTGATTTGATTGAAACTGAGATCAAGTACCTAAAGAGAGAACAACTATTTCGTATACAAAATATAAATAAAAGTCAATATATGTATATAATGTACATATTGAAAGCAGACGAAAAATTAAATAATAAGCATAAATTAACCATGCAGTACACCCACATACGAAATAAGCCACAAACAACAAACACCCAACTTAATAGGAAAAAATATAATAGTAAATGAATACAAAAAAAACAAAACAATAATATTCAGTTTTTGTACATTCTCAATTTTAATCAACATGCACAGATTTCATTGAGCAAAATCATTAATAACAAAAGAACATTAAAAATAAATATGAGCGTATTACAAAACATGAAATCAAAGCTATAGATAATTATTTATTAGCATGCGCTCATTTTCAATATGTGTGTACATTTTTACCCGTTTCTAATCTGGATAATATTTAACAATAATAGTAAACTCTGAAAAAAGATTGAGATAGACTAAAAACTATTTTTCTTCTATTAATTATATTCATTTATTCAAAGTGTAAATAAAAATCTCACTCTAGTTGTCGAAACATGACACAAACGATTTTATCAATAATGTTCTAGTAGAAAAATGTAAACTTAAAAGGAATTTACGACCATTAATGCGTCAAGATTCATTTTTACATTATCATACGTCGAATAGACGTATAATATTCAACTACTGCATCATCTTAAGTCATATGATGTGTAAACAAAATACGTGTAAGTCATCTCTCTACGGTAAAATCTTGATATTTTGAAGCATCAATAAGCGTTGTGTATATTATCATCGAATATTATTTGTCCTAAAATGTCTACAGCTTAAAATGTATTAGTGATATTTTTTTTCTTGGAGATAAAAAGATGAAGAAGAGTACTTTGTAAATTTGTATTGTTTCGTGAAATAAAAATAGTAGTGAAAATTAATAAAACGTGTGAAAAGTGGCAGTAAGACTTTTTCAGAGATGAATCGATAAATATCATAGCAGAAAAATAGTGTTCAGCGCAAAACAAGATAAAAGAAAAAATGTTTACCTACTTTTAATAAATTTAATTTTCTAAAATCCGGTAGAATTTCTAATTTATTGGAATGAGCACATAATATTTCTAAATTTTCCATTTTATTTAATGCTTCCATGGGTAATAATTTTAATAAATTACCGGATAAATTTAATTCAGTTAATGATATCAGTTTAGATAAGGCACTGAAGAGAAAAAATATATTTCTATTGAAGAATAAATAAGATTAATAAAACAAAATACCTTTCATCAAGATATTCTAAACGATTATAAGCTAAATGTAATATTTTTAATCGTTCAAAACGAGATAGTGTATGACATATATCATCTTTTAGATCGTTGCATGTCAAATAAAGTTCTTGTAACTTATTTAAGTCAGATCTATCATTTGCAAAAGGTAATGTGGACAATTGATTATTGCTTAAATTCAATATACGAAGTCTATAAGATATTAAAAAATAAGTTCAAAATTATTAAAAAAAAGAAAAGATATTAAGAGAAATAAAGATATACCTTTGCATATGTTTCAACATATTAATTGGTAATACTTCAATTCTATTATGATGCAATAGTAATGTTTCAATACAACAATTTGTTATTCGATCAGGTAAACAAAGTAAACAATTATGATCAAGACGAACATAACGTAAATGTTTACTGGAAGTAAATAATCTAAATTAAAAAAAAAGTTAATATATTTTTTATTATTCAAAATTAAACTTTTTATAAATTAATTACTTATTTGGTAGCAAAGCAAGACGATTATGATCAGCAATAAGACGTTCTAACATTTCTGTTTCGTCATTTAACCATTCTGGTAAACTATGAAAATGATTTCTAAATAAATAGAAGAAAGATAATCAATATTGAGAAGAAATTTACAAGAAAAAAATACGAACGAGCTGATATCAAGATAAATAAGATGAGTGGGACTAACAATCATTTGAATGGTTTTCAATTCTAAAACAAAAGAGTCATTATTTCCTCTACAGAAGAGCGTACTACTTAGGGTAATCCAAAAGTAGTGTCGTTACTATCTTATTTCCTTATAATAAGCTCAAAGAAATTTTCTTTTTTTATGCAGTGATAGAGAAAAGAATGTTCTATTTTTCTATGCTATTTGATCATACTTCAACTAATATTATAATAATAAAATTTCGATAAGATCTGTTTTGTCTGCATGTGTCCTGGTAGCATGAACGCGAGAGGAGTATTTTTTGAATAACTTTTGATAGAAACAAGAGAGAGAGCTGCGTTTTTCATCGCTGAAAAAAGGGGATGGTGACGCATCCAATCGTGTATTACAGATTTTTCTAATATTGATTTCTAAAAACATTTTTATTCAATTTTCTAACTGTCGAAAAAATGTTTTTTTTATGATAAAAGGAAAAAGAACAAAAGTGAACTTTTTTCACAAAAATTGGTAGAAAATCGTATTAGAGGGTGGACTAGCATACATATTATTCATCTCAGCCTTCCGCAGTTTCCAGATCTTCGATTAGTGGTTTGAATCTGTACTTGATAATTGAAAATTCACTGTTAGCACCTTACCAGATACGTTTGCTGTTAAAAAGGTAAATTGAAAACCTGACAAAAAATAGGTCAGGAAACCCTGTCATATATGATTCGATGTGTCATCATCTCCTCTTTCCAGCGGTGAAGACCACAGCTCTCTCTCTTGTTTTTATCAAAAGTTATTCAAAAAATACTCATCCGTCTTTTTTTAAAATCAGCGTTCATGCTACCGGGACACATACAAACAAAACAGATCTTATCGAAATTTTATTATTATAATATTAGTTGAAGTATGATCAAATAGCATAGAAAAATAGAGCATTCTTTCCTGTATCACTACATCAAAAACGAAAATTTCCTTGAACTTACTATAAGGAAATAAGATAGTGACGACACTACTTTTGGATTGCCCTAAGTAGATATTAGTGTAAGTTAATTTGATTTTGTTAGAAAGTTAAGTCAATAATCGTATTTATTAACTTACTGTTGTGAGATACATGAATACGTCTTAATGAATGTCCAGCGAGAGTTAGTTGTTCCATTTGATTTCTTGAACATCGTATATGTTGTAATGCAATCAATGATCTTAAATCAAGGCTAACTATCTGATTGTTCGATAAATCAAGATGAGTCAAATGGAATAAATTATTCATCAATAATTGTTCATTATCATTTAATTTTAACGAATTCATACGAAAATCAATTTGACGACAATATTCAAGACTAAGAAAAAATAAAGATAAACACAAATAATAACCTAAAACTATACTCTCATCATTTTTTTCTACACAAATATCTACAATTCTATGCAAAACTATAAAAACGATTTATTTTTGACGATTTCTCCCCGATCGTAATTGCCAGAATAAATCCAAAAGGGAATATTTCATTAGCTCGAAGAATTTTAAATCAGAAACGATCAAGCATAAAAAAACATCTAGTATTGCCCGATTCGTCTAGATTACTGGATTTTTACTCGATTGTAATTATTTAGTAAAGACAGTGAAAATCTAGTAATCGGGCGATTGTCAGATTTCTCCTCAGTTGCAACTATTGACTTATCACCCGATAATTGATCGTTTTAACTATTGCTAGTTGCACGTGTAGACACATCTAGTTAAAAGTTCCGTTTCTAACTAGTAATCTAGATGATAACTTGCCGAAATGTATCTAGATTTTCTCCATAGGTCAATTTTGCTTGGGGGACGTGTAAATGCTACAAAAATTTGCTGATATTCGATTCAACAGGAAACTTTTTGTCGGAGATGCAGAATCTGCCTGTGAGATTAGAAAATTTTTCTTGATAGAAAAAGTTTTTCAAAAAATTCTCCGACGTAATCCACGAACAGAATTTCTTTTTGCAATATATTTGCAAAAAAAAGTTCTAATTTTTCAAAAAATTTCCCAGCATCAATAAGTTTTCCTCCGACGACTGTCGAAGCAAACAGACAGAGGATTCTGCAGCTCTGCTCTTTGTACACAACCCAGTCGGATAGAACAAACGTTTTTCTCAGAAAGATCTCAGCCCATCAAAATCAGCAGGAAAACAACAAAAAAAAATGCTTTTTTCTTTTTGTTCTATACGACTAACGAGGGAACCTCACCAACTGATACCCTCTGTTTGACCTCATACTCTGTTCATAGGTAGGACTCATAGTGTAGATAAAAACTCTAAAAGGATTCATCCCCTCGACTCTTGAAGACCTGTTTTTCTGGAAAACCAGTTTTTCAGAAACTCTAAAAAATAACCAAAACCTTTTCTTAGTGAGACATGATTGTAGCCCGCACATTTCTGATTAAAATGAGACATCTCCCAGCTCTACATGACCTTTCTTCGCAAACTTATAGAATTTACAAGAAAAGCCCTAAATTAATTTCTTCTTATTTCTGTAGCTTTGAGCTGACAATAAACATTTAGGGCTTTTCTTGTAAATTCTATAAGTTTGCGAAGAAAGGCCATGTAAAGCTGGGAGATTTTAATCAGAAATGTGCGGGCTACAATCATGTCTCACTAAGAAAAGGTTTTGGTTATTTTTTAGAGTTTCTGAAAAACTTCTTCAAGAGTCGAGGGGATGAATCCTTTTAGAGTTTTTATCTACACTATGAGTCCTACCTATGAACAGAGTATGAGATCAAACAGAGGATATCAGTTGGTGAGGTTCCCTCGTAAGTTGTGTGCAAAAAGTTTATTCAAACATTTCATTTCCTCAAATTCTGATTTTCTAGAGATCGAATATTAGCAAATTTTAGTACACTTTCACGTCGTTCTTGATTCAAAACTCTTCCAGTTAATGAAATTTCTTATCGGATTTGTTCTGACAATTACGATCGGGCAGAAACCGTTAAAAACAAATATTCCTATGATTTTGTACAGGAGTGTATCTTCAATACGACTATTTTAGTTCATTGAAAAACGTTTTTCTCACTGTTTTATTGCTTGTAAAGTGATTTTTTTAATATGATTTCCGGCTAGAAACAATGATGTGACATGAGAACAACGAATATGGGTTAATTTTGCTAATGAAATTGGAATCTCTTTAAAATAATTGAATGCCAGTGAAATATCTTTTAAACGTTTTAAGTTTTCTATTTCAATTGGCAACACATAAATACAATTATTTTGTAGATGAAGTAACTCCAAGCTAAAATTAGAACGAAAAGATACGATTGTATATAATCTGAACAATGATAAAACTTCATTATCACTTACCATTGTAAATTTTCAATTTCGGGTGCAATTGTTGTTATTCGATTACTTGCTAAATTAAGCTCAACTAATCGATGTAAATCACAAATAACTAATGGAAATTGTTTTAATTCATTATCAGCCAAATTTAAACTAACCAAATTTTGAAAACGACATATATCGTCTAACCAGCCTAATTCAAAATAAAACATAATTTAATTTATGCTCTTTTTTAACGTAACTAACTTTAAACCTACCCACAGTATATTGATATTCTTCTGTTTGTCTTAATCTTAAATTATTATGTCTAAGATTTAAGACAGATAATGCCTGATTTATAAATAAATTTTGTGGTATTAATTCTAGATGACTAGACGAATAATCAGCTATATCTATCACTTTGTTCGTTGTCTATAATAAAATACAAAAAAAATTGAAAATTATATTAATATCGAATAAATTAAACATACTTTCCGCATTCGTTTTAACCATTGGCTATATTCTTCATCGTTATTTAATGCCATATACAATGATCCATGACCATCTACAGACAACTTTAAACAATAAGGTTTTTCTTTTAAACGAACTTCTTCAACATTTGCACGATTTAGTTCAACAACAAATGGATTTGTATTGGCATCTTAAAGAATAAAACAACACATACATTAATAGGAAAACATTTTTATTATTATAATTTGTCCAACCAGGATATATTGTGAGTCGACAATTTGATATTATACATTTTCGTTTAAACCATTTTCGCCTAAATTTTCCTTTTCGAATCCAAACATACGTTGATAGATTATTCTCTTGTAATTTTTCATCAAATATTAGACGACCTAAATAAAATAAATATAGTAAATAATGTCTAAATTAAATTTGACAAACACTTTTTTTCAAAAAAATAGCTAATGACCTTCCTACTCTGTGATTTTCAAGGAGAAATACTGTTTTTGTTAAAAGACTAGTACCTGTCAAAAATCTTATTAAATATCCTAGATCATGTTTTTGTCCTTCTTGTTGTATTCGTTTAATATTGTTAAAGCCAATAGATAATAAATATTCATATTGAATAAATAATGGTTTATCATATGAGTTTAAATGTTTTAATCTATCTCCATTGTATTGAACATACCAAGTTTGACTATTCAACTGACGATTTAATCGAGAACAAATTTGTTCAACCGTTGTCCAGATTGTACACGGAATTAATTTTGATCGTTGAAAATTGTTATTACCACATAGAATTGGATCATATAAACGAATAAAACCATTATTTATATCGCTTATTAACCATTCATCATTTTTTAAACGATAATTATTTGTGTTTAAAGTTAGACTATTGTTGTTCTCATCTGCATTTTCTCCCTCATTCGATGACCACAATGGTATTAGATTATCGTTTGATGGTGATAACTGAGTATACATTGGTATGTTAACGGAAATATTGTTAGACGATGACGAAATATAAGATGAACCATTGCCATTTTCAACACCAACAGTAACATATTGTTTTAAGTGTTGACGATTGGGATAACGAAAATCATTCGATATATGATGTTTCTTATGAAGATATATAGACGATACACTTGATGAATCCAGATTCGATAATCGACGATAATTTATTGATTATGGGAGCATTTTCTTCTTCATTTACATTCATATTTTTTTTTAATCACATATGTGAGACTTAAAACTCAAGGAAAAGTAAATTAAATAATCGAGTCAACTGCAGAGCATTTTTCATTCAAAGCATTTCGAATCGTTAACTCTATCGCCAATCACAATGATCTTTCAAAAAAACTAAATGTAATCCCGTTTAAGTTACCTATTTATTAATAAAACTATGGTTTTGTATGGAGGATGTAACTTGGTGCATATTTTGGAAATGGACAGTGGTTTCAGCTGTTTCCCTGTTACTCAGAAAACAACTCTTCAATACTTGTAGAAAAATGTAGACACAGTTCGAAACAATTTTTCCCCTAAGCATAACACCGTTTTTTTTTCATTTTTCTATATTCTTGTCCATAAATGAGGATGAACGATCAGTCTGAAAAAGAAAAATAGTATGTTCCTCGGTTGTTGAAAAATCCGATTAATTCAATGAAAGTTTCAGAGAAAGTGTGACACAAATGAAAATTTTCGAATCTATTTTTCTTTTTTTTACTTCTGCTAACATTGATGAGATATCTACTACTGTAGACTATAGAGCGTACTGTTCTGTAGGTATCTTAGTAACGGTAGCAAGAACATAAAAAGCAAAACACATTTCTGAAACTTTAATATTTGCGTGTGCATTTCTTTGTAACTTTCATTCGCTCAATTGCAATTTTTTTGGCGCAATAGAAGAGCATAAAATAAAGGATTCGTCCTGTTAATGAAAGGTTTGAAAGATGAAGTAGCGACATATTGAAACCTCCTTATTGTCAAAAAGTATCAAATGTACTTTTTTTATACAGTTAACTAAAAGATTCTCATTGTCAGCCGACATCTTATCTATTTTATATTGAATCGTTCGAGAAATGGTGAAAAAAGACGATGAAATTAGTATTTCATCGGAAACGAAGGGTCCGGTTAAAAGTTTCGGAGCATTAATGGGCGAAGGTGAAAAGTTTTCACGTGATAAACTATATACAAAAGCTGTCCAATGTTATACAGAAGTAAGCATTACTCCTAAAAATATTTAGCATAGTACATTGCTTTTTCTAATAAATATTTTTATTTAGGCTCTTGATCTCCTCCCGCCTGATGATGACAAATCTAGTCCAAAGGATACAAATGATCGTCTTCAAGGATTAGTAGCTCGTTCAGCATGCTATTTAAAAATTGGCAAAAATGACTTAGCATTACAAGATGCTGAAGAGTCGTTAAAACGAAATAAAGAATACTCAAAAGTAGATATACATTTAATTATCTTATATGAATTATTTTTAGTCAATAATTTTTGTTTTATTTTCAGGGTTTATATCAGAAAGCCGAAGCACTCTATGCAACTGGTGAATTTGAACTAGCCTTAATGTTTTATCATCGTGGTAAAAAATTACGTGGAGATTTAAAAGAATTTCAACTAGGAATAAATAAAGCTCAAGAAGCAATCGATAATAGTGTTGGTGGTAAGCGAGATGATAATAGAATCTATAAGAAGTAGTTTATTGGACATTGTTTATTGTTTTGTCTCTTTTAGATCCAAATCGTGTTAAACTTGAAGCCAGTGGCGATCTATCCTATTTTTACAAAAATGACGAGGTATACTTAGAATTTTTCTTAGTAATTGTATTGTGACATTTAACTGACAAATCTTTCGATTATAATAAAATTATGTTTTCAGGACGAATCGAAAAAGGTGAAAGAGAGAGAGAGTTTGTTGATTGCGAAATTTATGTGTGTCTATCTAATGCAAATGTGTGATATCCAAATCACTTTTTGATTATGTATTCTTATTTGAATGAAATTCGAATGCACGTGTACTGAAATATTATTTTTTTTTTTGTTATACTAACAATTTTAAGTGTTTTTAAACGAAAACTTTCTAAAGAAAGTTTGTTTATAAACAAGATTTGATCTAATAACGTTCAGGTCCTCTAGCTTATATAAATATTTTATGTGCCTTTGTCGAATCTGATAATTAAGCTCTTCTATTCGCTGCAATTGGCTAAAAAACTTTATCAGAGTTTATTAATTTAAATCAGTTAGATAGAGAAAACCTCTCAGTTGGTTTAGAGAAATGATAATCATATCGCAAAAAACTTGATTATTGTCCGTTGCGTGAGGGCCAGAGATATGTGAAGGGTAATACCATCTCTACACTAGAGAAAAAAAAATCTGAATCAAGTTAGATGCCTTTTTTTCTGAGATGTTTATTTCCCTATCGACTCTATTAGATTTCGATACAACGCATTATGCTTTGGCTTGAATTTTTCGCGAGAAAGCTCATTTTGTGTTACTTTCTTCCAAATCTTTTCTTTTGCTTTTTTCTCTCGGCATGGTACTGATTGTTACTGAAAATTTATTTAACTTTGAATGCATTTAAATACTTCAATAATTGTTTAAAATAATCAACTTCTGCTACGAACAATCTACTTGTTAACAGAATCATTATCTGCTATTTAAAAATAAATATGACAGTTTATAATAACATATTATTTTCTATATAGGAAAATAAATTTTCTATTATTAGGTTTTCGAACATTTTCTTTAACGCTATTATTAAGTTCAATTTTTATTAAAATCTATCGTTCATATTTATCAAGTGTTATCGTAACTTCTATGATATTTTTGGTTATAAAATTCTATTTATTATTTGTATTTTTAATAGAAAAAGAAGCAACCAGTTGGCTATATTCGACCATCTCAGAAAAAAGAGACAACTATTCAACGAAAACCACGTCAAACAGTATCTAATCCAAAGACAACAAAACAACTATTAGGTGATTTATATGCTGATCGCGCTTATTTAGAAAGTTTGATTAACGATAATAGTAAGTATCCAAAAAAATGAAGATTATGAACTTCTTTCAGAGTTGTTGTTGTTTATAATAGCTGTAACAAAACAGAATACAAAATCTGGCGATGCTATTTATCAATTGGCTAGTGACGGTTTAGACTATCTAGATAGTCGTACAGACTTTTGGCGTCAACAACAACCGTTATATGCGCGACCCAAAATGGTTAAACGTCAAGGTGGCGATGATGAACCATTAAAACATATCCGACGTGAACTGGAAGCAATCGATGATTGTAAATAAGAAAATATTCAATTTTATTGATAAGAATTACGATAAGTTATATGATTTTAGTGCAAAATATGGATCAATTTCGTGATGCTCAACGTCGTGCACATAAACTACAAGAATATAGTGAACGATTAGATGAACGAAAATATACAGAAAAATGGTCGGTTTTAGCCGATGTACAAAGTCGTCTCGGTAATGCTTATCTAGAATTAGGTGATTACGCAAAATCATTAGATCATCATAACAAAGATTTAAAACTTTCCGAAACAAGGTATATCATAATTATTTTATTAGTCAAATAACTGCACAATTACCACTAAAATTTTAGAGGATTTGAAGATCGTCAATCACGTGCTTTGGATAATCTTGGTCGTGTATATGCACGTAGTGGTCAATTTGCTCAAGCTATACAAGTATGGGAAAGAAAAATACCGTTAGCCACATCACCATTAGAGAAAGCATGGCTCTTTCATGAAATAGGACAATGTCATTTTGGTTTAGGTATATAATCACTATTGATACTGTTATCGAAATTTAAGTCAAAAAATCTGTTTATTTAGGTGACTACGAACGATCTCAAGCTTATGGTAACCGTTCATTTACTGAAGCTGTAGAAGTGAGTGATCCAGTATGGCAATTAAATGCCAAAGTACTTGTTGCACATAGTCAAACAAAATTAAGACAATATCGTGAAGCAGAAAAAACGTTTGATGAAGCGTTGGTATTAGCAAAGGATCAAAGTAAGTTTTATTTAATTTTTAGTACATGAAAATAGATAGTTTATCGCTTAATCAACATAATTCTAGAAGTTAAAACATCTCCAAGTAAGTTCATTGTTGTCAATGACGATATCCATTTCTACTACCAGAAAAAATGTGCATGCCAAAAAAGTGTAAAAAGATTTTCTTGAGTCTACTCTGTTTGATATTGTTGCATGTGAATGTTGCGTGTAAAAAAAAGTCTCTTTCTTTTGTTTATCACTAAACTGTTCTTAAGTAGGAAATAATGGCACAATGTCGCATGATATTCCTTTATCAGTGCCCGTTTTTATTATGTGTGCATGCATGTTTATATACAATCTTGTATTTTCTAAAGTTTCTTTATAGTTAAAAGAGAATATTTGAATGTAAAAATGTTCCGCCTATTTTTTGCGTACATTTAACTATAAATTCCTGTCTGTAAGTTCGATGGTACGGTGTAAACTGACAATACAATGTGTACATTTTTGATGTTTGTATTTCTTTTGCATTACATTGCAAAAATTTTGCCTCTTTTTCTTTTCTTTTGTTTCAGAGTTTCAGATTTTTTACTCCCTGATAATATTTTCATATCTCTTTTAGACGATGTTGCGGCTGAACGAGCAATCGAACGTGCTGTAAAAGAAGTTAAAGAAAAAATTGCAAAAGGCGCTGCTGATTGTAAGTTGATGATAAACTGAGAAATATAACGAAAATAATATTGAGGTTTTTCAGTGCTCTCTTGGAGAAACAGATACAGAATAAAAATAAGATAATTTATTGATCCGTCGTTATGTACAAAACCTTCTAGTTGCACTATACATTCAAAAGATTTTATGCTCTTTAATCTTGAATAGGATGTGTGTGTGTGTTAGTAATGATTTTTGAATGATGATCTTTTTGTATGTTTTAGCTGTACCAGATCGAGAAGGTATGATCAAAGGCTACTTGTAACCAAAATGCCATAAACAAAATCTTTCTGTCTGTAGAAATCACCTATGAAATTAAAGTAAAGAGTAATGACAATATTGCCTATGAAAATGAAGATGGACTTGTCAAATTGAGTATCTATGGTGATAACGGTAGTTCAGGACAAATTGAATTGAGAAATGAAAATGAAGAAGCAATCAAATTTAATCATTCAAAAACGGAAACAATAAAGAAAAAAGCATCGGATGCTGGAAAGGTAAAATGAGAAGTGAATTTTGTTGCTTCAAATATGTTGTGTTTATTGTTCAGATTACAAAAGTCACATTAACATGTGCGAATATTCAATCGTGGTGGCTAGACAGTATAGAAATACACGATCTAAAACGAAAGTCAAAACACAAGTAATTATTTCAAATATCGATATTATGTGCAAATGCGGGCAAATATATTGTTCTATTTAGATTTCCATTCAATCAGAATATTGACAGTGCGACTCCACACACAATCGATCTATTTCAGGAAGGAAGTATGTTTGCATGTTTTTTAAATGAGTCAAGCACAGAAAATGAATATAGACTGTCATTCATTCTAAACTCCCAAAAAGCCTACAACTGGCAACTTCTACGTTTCTTGGATGTCTCGCGGACTTCACTCACTGATGTAACAGACTTTTGTGTACGTTTCAGAGTAGAATTCGTGAGAAAAAAAAAAACATGGACTTTTCTTCTTTCAAATTTATAGTGCTAAACATCCTATTTTTCTGTGCCCACAACAGAATGTACTAGATTAGCAAAACTCGTTATTTCATTAAAAATATATGAATAAAAAAATTCACTAATGATCATGGGTGGACCGGGAAAATATTTTTAGGGGAGGGCAATACATTTTTTAGAGTAGTGTATACACAATCGTGCTTCCCTTTACAATTTTTGTCCGTGCTAACACACTTTTTCTTCGTTTAAAGCCTATCAAATTTTTCTATCAAGAATTACTCTTGGACTCTTTATTTGAACGTCGGACACATACTCTGCTGTGAAATATAATTCTTGACAGAGCAATCGCTGCTTATTGCCCTTAATATTTTTTTCCCAGGAGGGACAATTGCCCTGCTGGCAGCCCGCCAGTGCTTCTAATGATCTTAATTCCAGCCTCCGTTCCTATATGACTATTGAAATTAAGTGTAAATATCTGTATTTTTATTACAGCCATTGTATCACCAGCAGTCGTTGTTCGAGGACCAAATGCAGAAAAAAGTAAATCAACTCCTACATTATTCAGTAATGTCTACATCAAATAAATATGTTTGAAATTTTTTCAAATAGGAAAAACACCTGCATCTAAAGATCAGCCAAATGGAAAAAAATCCGATGTCAGTAGTGTTCCACCATCATCAAGAATATCAGATTCAAAAGATAAAAAGAAAGATGATCGAGCGACAAAACCTGGCGATAAAACTAGTGATAAACCTAGCGATAAAACTAGCGACAAAACTAGCGACAAAACTAGTGATAAACCTAGCGATAAAACCAGCGACAAAACTAGCGAGAAAACTAGTGATAAAAATAAGAAACAACCATCGGTAGAAAAAAGTAAATAATTGATTTTTTTTACTTCATTAGTTGTAAGATATTGCATTAACCAAATTATTTAATTATTTATTAGATGTTGAATATGTCATCAAAGTTGAAACTGGCAAGGTTCAACTAGCTGGAACAGACGCAAAAGTATCTTTGATAATAATAGGTGAAAAGGGTTCAACAGATAAAATTAATTTGGAAACATCAGAAACAAATAAAAATCCGTTCGAAAAAGGATCAAAAGATGTATTTCGATTTCAATTGCCAGATGTTGGAGAAGTGAGTATTTTTGTTAATAATAGTTTATTATAAAGAAATTTTAAAAACTATGGTTATATTTTTAGATTAAAAAAATTAATTTGAGTCAAGATGGAGAAAATGCTTTGAGTGGATGGTTTTGCACTTCTGTATCAATTACTGTTACATCGGCTCCCCCAAAACGATATTTGTAAGTAAGAAATGAAACTAACCAAATTATTTAAACTTTACAAATTATTGAATAATTCATTTATTTTTCATAGCTTTCCTGTTGACCGTTGGCTAAGTCAAACTGATGGAGACAAATTGACAAGTTTTGAACTTCTACCAAATCAAAGACCTAATGAAACAGAAAAAGGTAATAATCTGTAGTTTTCATTCATTCATGCAATTTTATTTTATTTTTCATTAGTGATTGAATATGAAATATCTGTTCAAACGGGTAATGAACGTTCATCTGGTACTGACGCAAACGTATTTCTTTCGTTGTATGGTGATAAAAATAACATACTTAAACATCAATTAAAAAAGCCTGAAAGTGACAAAGATCCATTTGAAAAGGGTCAAAAAGATGAATTCTATTTTACAGATATTGATATTGGAAAAGTAAGTAATGAAATTCTTATTTAGAATGATAAGTTCTATCTTGTACAATTAAAAATAAATTAAATCTATCTTTTATAGTTAAAAAAAATTAATATTCAACATGATGGCACCTCAACGGGATCTGGTTGGTACTTGGATAATATCTCAGTTAAATTACCAGCTAGAAATGAAACATACAAGTAAGAAAAAAAACAACGACAAAATATATTCTATTTATTTTATAAATCTTTATTTTCTATTAAGTTTTCCTGTGGATCGTTGGTTGGATGAAAGTGAAGGTGACAAGAGAATAAGTCTAGATTTAGAACCAAATAAAAAACCAACAAATAAAGTTGGTATGTATCAAGAAATTTATATAAGTCTATTTTAATTAATATATGATCATTTTTCACTCTCAGAAGAGGAATTAAAAAAAGAAGAAACAGTTGAAGGAGTCGAATATGATGAGTTTTTTGATAAAGATTCTGATGGTTTGTATTGATCATTATATGCAAACGATTATATATGCTGCTATACTATAAATGTCTTGCCTTTTCTCAATATAAATTGCTCTTGTTATTCCTTTCTATCGGGAGGGGGATATATGTGCTTGCTTTCATTATCCCCTATTGAAAATAGATTTTAAGTCAGATTAATCTGAATTTTTTTTATTTTAGAGGAACCAAAACCGGAAAAATCAGGTAAATTTTTTAGATCATAACTTAAAATTTCTGATTATATGAGTTTGATATTTGATATAGGTATAGAATATAAAATAACAGTAAAAACGGGTGATAAGACTGGTGCGGGCACTGGTAAGAGAACTGATATTTTGTTATTATTCTATTTAAAAAAATGAATTATTTAATTTTTGTTAGATGCCAATGTTTATATAAGTCTATATGGTGACGAAGCGAAAGTAGAACGTTTACAATTAAGAGAATCTGTTGATAAAAAACTAGATTTATTTAAATCAGGATCGAAAGATGAATTTCAATTCAATGAATTAGATGTATCAAAAGTATGTCAATATTTACATTCAAAAAGGAGAAAAACTAAATTAGTCATCATTATTTGGTTTGTTTTGTTATAGATAAAAAATATTCGTATTGAGCACGATGGAACAGGTAGTGTAACGTTATTTAACAAGAGATTATATCTTGAAATGAATTATATTTAACAATTATTCATGTTAGGAATTGGCGCCGGATGGTATTTAGACTGGATTGAAGTTTGTATTGTACCTCGTAACGAAACATACAAGTAAATATTGACTGATAACATATTCTTTCTTTCTTACCATATTGTTTATTTTTCTTAAATGTAGATTTCCTGTTGACCGATGGTTAGATACAGGAGAAGGAGATCGTCTTTTAGCACTCGATCTTCAACCAGATAAACGTCCTGGACAACAAAAAGGTAATGATTTAAATATTATTTAACATTTATTATATCTATCCTTTGAAGAGTTACTTTGAAATGGTCTAGAAAGAGATTTCTATAATAATTGATATTTTCAGATGATGTGGATGAGAAAAAAGATGATGACGAAGCAAAAGTTGAATAGTATGATTTCTGATTATTTTTGGCTGCTAAATTTAATTTTTTTCACAGTGGCTATATTTGAGACATAAGCCAATGTGTGTGTATGTGTGTTTTATAGCTACATAATAAATTGAAGTAGCTATAGAAAATAAGTTTGAAATTCACCGTATCTTTTACTAACATAATGAAATTAGCAATATATATATATATATATATATATATATATATGTTGTAGGCAAACTTAGAATTCAGGCAAATTCCGAATTTGTCTAGGCAAAATTAGAATTCTAAGTTTGACTGAGCAAAATTGGAATTCTAAGTGTGACTAAGTGAGTAAAAATTAGAATTTAGGCAAAACTGGAACTAAAATGGGAAAATCAGAGATCACAACTGATAAAGTCATAAAATTAATTATATGTGCTAAAATCATGCTCTTAGTTTCTCCTGCTAGGTAATAAGCCATACTCACCCACTGATGTATTAGATGGATTAGAAGGAACTTGAATTAAAGAATAATCACAATCTCGAAAAGGAGTGATTAGCTGAGAAGCTAGAGCATCTGTGTGTGACCATGAAAGAAACAATTGTTTTAATTCAATTGTAACTCTTGCAATAAACTCCTTTCCATTATCACTATGAAGCAACCGTGGTGGACCAAAAGCAACTGTGAACTTTATAATTGAACTCCCTCTTCTCTGAATGTGAGAGAAGATAAAGAAAAGACAGTTAATTTGAAGTTGAAAATTGAGTGAGTTATGAATTTTTTAATATTAGGTGAAAATAGCCTGAAAATCCTACTTTTCGTAAAACTCGCTTTTCAGTAGCTTTTTAAAACTTTTTCTAAAACAAATATTACCACGAGACTCAGCATGATCGATTACCTATAGTCCATCCATTTTCAAGCCTACCAATAGTCACCGGGTGTCAGTGCTGAGACTCGTAGGAAATCCGATGCAAGGCTCAAACCGCGAAAAATCAAGATCTTGCTCGACTCCTATCTTGAAGAGAACACCCTGGGCTATCGGTTTGTAAAAAAGAATCAATACAATCCGATTGGAAAACTGTTGCATACAGCCTAGTTTTTCAAAGACCTCCTAGAAAATCTGTTTTAAAAAAACTCTTCTGAAAACGTTTTGCTTATGAAAATATGTCCCGAGTCACCTCTTTCAAATGGTGAAAATCGGAGCTCTCTAGCTACTTTCTAGCAAAAGTTATTCCAAAAATGGCCCAGCCCATTCTTTTTTTAATCGACAATAATTATGTTTTAGCACTCTTTTGCAAATAGTCGAAACAAGAATTCTCGACAACGCTTCCTTGTAGAGAATTTTTTTTTTGATTGAAAGAGTATATCCAGCTCTAGGGCGTTACAGAGCCCTTTTTTCAAATTAGGTTTTCTTTTTTTTATTAAAAAAGGATCTCTGGAAAATTGCTAATGTTTTCTACGGGTTTTGGGGAGGTATTGAACTTCTAAGCCTTCTCTCCCCCGCAACAAAACCAAAAATTTAAAAAAAGACTGTATGTAACACTCTAGAAGTGGATGTCCTCTATCGAACAAAAAAAATAATTGTCTATGATGAAGCCTCTACGAAAATTCTTATTTAGAGAAAAAGCTATTTTTTGCCCGTAATTTTTGAATATCTTGGAAAATAGTCATGATATTGGTCCGAAAATTTTAGCATAGCATCCCTATACCATGACCAAGATATCCTGAAAATGTCATGCAATTTCGTGGCATGGAAGCCGAGGTCCGATTTTGAGGGGGAGGTGGCCTTAAAGTAGAATATTATGATTATCTTAATCAAATATTTTTTATACATACATTTAGCTTACATATCATATTGACTACAGTACTGATTGTTTTTTGAAATACTGAATGGGATTATTTGACAAAGAAAGACGATTAAAAAGCTTTTCAAAACGATGAAGTATATTCTTGTGCAAGTTTTATCAGTCTTATATTTCATTTCAATTACGTCTTTAATCGGCTCTGTTTGTCAAATATTCTCATTCAGTATTTGAATAAACAATTAATACTGTCACTAAATGTATGTATTAAAAATGTTTGATTAAGATAATTATAATATCTTGAAGAGGGAGTTCAATTATAAAGTTCACAGTTGCTTTTGGTCCACCACGGTTGCTTCATAGTGATAATGGAAAGGAGTTTATTGCAAGAGTTACAATTGAATTAAAACAATTGTTTCTTTCATGGTCACACACAGATGCTCTAGCTTCTCAGCTAATCACTCCTTTTCGAGATTGTGATTATTCTTTAATTCAAGTTCCTTCTAATCCATCTAATACATCAGTGGGTGAGTATGGCTTATTACCTAGCAGGAGAAACTAAGAGCATGATTTTAGCACATATAATTAATTTTATGACTTTATCAGTTGTGATCTCTGATTTTCCCATTTTAGTTCCAGTTTTGCCTAAATTCTAATTTTTACTCACTTAGTCACACTTAGAATTCCAATTTTGCCTAGGCAAATTCGGAATTTGCCGGAATTCTAAGTTTGCCTATAACATATATGTCAAAATCGATAATAAGACTAACACTACCTTATACATACTGAAGTTAACTGCTGCACTTGAGACTAGTGTCGTCTTTATTCAAAATACATCATCAGTCAAATGATGACAACAAATTTTTCCCGTCCTTACAGAATAAGAAAAAGAAACACATGTAAAGAACAGAAACATGTAACTAGGCATGCAACGGTTATTTTATCGGGGCTCTTGGAGACAGTAGTTTTACAAAACCGAGAAACTTTTTATTTTTTTTTTTGAATCGATAGTTTTATGCATAAATATTTGCTCTACAAAAACGAAGACATTACAGACTTTCTCACGACGGTTCGTCGATGAGATACAAAGTTTTTACCTGAAAAACTGAGCGGTTAATCGCCGGTTAATAACCGGTCTTATTTTAGAGAAAAAAGTGCCTCATCATGAGAAAGCCTGCGATGTCTTCGTTTTTGTAGAACAAACATTTGTGCATAAAACCATCGACTCGAAAAAAGTTTCTCGAATTTTTAAAACTACTGCCCCAAGAGCCCTGATAAAATAACCGTTGCTTGCCTACATGTAACTTAGTCCGTTATTTAGTCGTACATGACGTAATATGTCGTCACAAAATATTCAGAGTAAAAATTTTCCGAGAAGATAAATACCGAATTTTCTTCTTACTGTACATATCTATAAGTAAACTCTTTTTATTCCATGAGATTCAAAGGCAAGAATTTTAGGTTTTCAGTTTGTTCTATGACCACGTGCAAGATCAAGATCATAGTTAGCAATCCTTGAGAATCGAATACCTCGAAAAGCATCTTTATGTGCTTGTTTTCGCGTATCAGTGCTCACTATTTGTCCGATATAACTGTTTATACATCCACAACATTCATATTTATACACCACTCTTTTGTCATTCACCGGAATGAAAACCGGAAGGTTTTGATGGAAAATCAAAAAAAATTTTAGTGAAAAACTACAAGAGTTTAGCTAAAATACATGAAGGTTTAAAAAAGAATTACTTGAGAACGTAATGATAATTTGATATCTTCTGAATTTCTGAAAAACTGAAAATTATCATTTCGTTCTCAAGTAATTCTTTTTTAAACCTTGAGTATTTTAAGCTAAACTCCTGTATTTTTTCACTAAAAGTTTTTTGGATTTTCCATTAAAACCTTCCGGTTTTCGGGTAAATTAAAAATAACTAGAACCCGTACCCGTAACTCCTTTACCCGTACCCAACCTTCGGGTCGGATTGCACATCTCTAAATAAGCCTATGAATTACAAAATCAATCTCATGAAATGTCTATGCACTCGTGCAAGAAGAGTTTTCTCATCTAAAGAACTATTTGAAAAAGAATGAAAATGTTATACTCGTATTTTCTATTCAAATGGCTATCGATTAGTTATTGTAAAAAAGACGATTCGGGGTATTAAATTAAATAAGATCTTAAAAAGATCCTTTCCTGCTTCAAATCAAAAACAATTTTATTTCTCTATGCCTTATTATGGAGAGTGCTCATTAGTTTTAGCTAACCGGTTGAAAAAACTAGCTTGATATCCAATGAATGTGATAACTTTTGCTTTTAAGACAGGACAGACCTTGTCATCTGTATTTGGAAAAACATTGCGTAAAACCGTGAATGACAAAAGAGTGGTGTATAAATATGACTGTTGTGGATGTATAAACAGTTATATCGGACAAATAGTGAGCACTGATACGCGAAAACAAGAACATAAAGATGCTTTTCGAGGTATTCGATTCTCAAGGATTGCTAACTATGATCTTGATCTTGCACGTGGTCATAGAACAAACTGAAAACCTAAAATTCTTGCCTTTGAATCTCATGGAATAAAAAGAGTTTACTTATAGATATGTACAGTAAGAAGAAAATTCGGTATTTATCTTCTCGGAAAACTTTTACTCTGAATATTTTGTGACGACATATTACGTCATGTACGACTAAATAACGGACTAAGTTACACGTTCTATTCTGCACATGTGTTTCTTTTTCTTATTGTGCTTAAAAGGACAGGAAAAAGTTGTTGTCATCATTCGACTGATGATTTGTCTTGAATAACGACGACACTAATCTCACGTGCACCAGTTAACTTCACTATATCTAAGATAGTGTTAGTGTCTTATTATCAATTTTGAAATTCTTCACTATTAAAAATCATTCAATATATATGTCAATCTACTAACTGCATGAAAAATGAGACAAATTAATTATGATAATAAATAGAGAAAATGTTTTAAACTTATCTCATATTTAACGTTTTGTTTTTAGGTCGTAGATAAACAAATAAAGTTAATAATATGAACAAATCGTCACTCTATAGACTAACTATCTCTAAAATATGTGTTTTTTAAAATAGTGTAAAATAAAGACGAGAACTTTTTTTATTCTTGTTTGTTATATATTTTTAAATAATTTCTACTTTAATAAATGAATTGTTCTGAGTTTTTTCATCAATCATCATACAACTATTGTACGTTTACGCAAAAATGGATTATTTCATCTAATATAGGACTTTTCTCGATAAACAAACATTATCACGCGAAATTTTAGTTAGTTTTCATTTATACAGATGAACCGAGTGATTGGTTCATTGAAAAAACAAATATTGTAATAACAAATGATATAAAAATATGAGTATTGACAACAGACTAGTTAAAAGAATATCCAAGATGAAATTGACATGGAAAAGAGTTATAGTTAAATTAGTTTGACATAATTCAAACGTAAAATAAAGACTTGAGCATTAAAATATTTCAAAACTTCAGAATGTACCTGCTGAAAATTGAAAAATACAGATTGGAGTTATTAGCATGAAATTTGAATTAGAACTCTAGTGAATAAAGGTGTTCACGCGTTCAGTTGTTGTTTATTCATATTAACAATAAATCCAGTCTTGATGTTGAACTGGTCGACACCTTGCAGGACAATGTTGTTTGATTGTTGATATTGATTTGTTTTGACAACATGGTCTTACACATCCGACATGACAATCAAGACTTGGTCTTTGTGTGGGAAACGGGACTAATTGACCACGTCTAAATTTATGACATGTAAAACTATCATGTATTAACGCAAACGAAGAAATATGTGGCCAAATTAATTTTTCTAGAAATGTTTGATCATGTGTTTTTGGATAGTTACGTATTTTTTCTTGATTTAATAAAACTTTAAATAGTTTTAAAATAAATACACGATTTTTTCCGTTAGCAGTTGTCCATAATCCGCCAAGAATAGGTACACCATGCATCGGATGATCTCGTATAACGTGAAATAATTTACCGGATGTTAAAAATTGTTGAACAGCGACTTGTTCACGTGTTGTTAATGGTGAATCAACATCTCGTGATGATACATAATCAACAAACGGATCTAATGTGGGAATAAAACGCCAAATTTTTCCAGGCATATAGGTAGAAACATCACCAATGATCGGTAGATTTTTAACGTCACATAAATCAATGTTGGAATAGGTTTTTGTTAAATTTTTTATATGAATAAATTCACCTAAAGTAGACAAATCCTTTAGAAATATTTTCCTACACGAGTTAAGAAAACCTAATTCGAAGTCGATCAGACTGTAGATTTCTATACGCAAGTAATAAGACATTCGATTTTTTCGTGGATTTTATTGACTAAATTAGAAAATCGATCAAATAGAAGACATACCCAAGTTTTCTTCAATATAAAGTCGAACTGTCCAATCTGGAAATAATTCATTTGCTTCATTGAGAAATGGTAATAAAAATTGATAAATACGGTCGGCATTAAATATTGAATTTTCTTTTGGACCAAATAATGATAGACTAATAACTTTTTGTCCATAACCACGTTTTGTTGCTTTTTCACTACACAATGTTTGACGTGATGTTGTTATTTCAATCAATTTTTCGTACAACTTTATTTCATCTTCACTTTGTGGTGAGTAAGATCTTGAATAAAAAAAATGAATCACGAATGTATAACCAATCAATAGAAGGATAACAATCACTGATGCTTTTGATGGTAAATATTCTAATATTAAGTAACTAGTTACACGTTTTTTTCGAGCATTCATCGTATGCAGTCGGAAAACGAGAAACAATATACAATCATAACCAGTCTTATTCTAGAATCATTGTTGTAAAAGACTACCATGTATCTAACTAGGTCCTACTATATGTGTGCACTAGACGCCATCGAAAAGAGTGTCTGAAAGAAAAGAAAAGAGATGAACGGAAAGTCAGGCCACAGAGAAAAAAAAAACATTGAGAAAATATTAATCTATGTGTTGAGTACAATCTCTCTCATTCTTGCTCTCTTATTTTCTCTCTGAATAACACAAAGTATATGAAAAACAATTTGTGGTATGGACCATTTCAGTAACTGCTTAAAAATGACTGCAAAAAGTTCAGTTTCTAAGAGTTATGACGTTAATGACCTCAACATATTTTCTAGAAATCAGATGCTTTTTAATGACTCGACCTGATGCGCATCAATTTCAAAAATTCATATCACTTCTCACATAACTCCAAAGTAATTGATTTTTCAATTAAGAAGAATGAATCTTCTACAAAAAAAGTTAAATCCTGTGTATTTATTTTTTTCCTTCAAAAAATGAAATTGGGTCAATCCTTTATGTTTAACAAAAGAATGTTTTATATATTAGTTGTGCATTCACTTGCAACGATAAGAGTGAGAGAAAAAGACAGACGTTTTTGATTCATCAGAAAGGCCACATTTATTGCATTGTTAAAATGACTAATTACGATTTATCTAAAGAAAAACATTGAATATAAAGAGCATATGGTACATAATGTTTCCCATTCAATGATGAGCTTCAATAAATAAAGTTAACAACGTTACGAATATTATTTATATGTATATATATTTGTATGAGGCACGTATATGCACATCAGAGATCAGCACGGGCCGGGACGGAGAATTTTACAGAGTGGTCGAGCCGGGCTTGGGCCGCAAAGTATTCTGGTCGGGCCGGACATGGGCTGCAAAGTATTCTGGTCGGCGGCTTGTCCAAACGCCACGGCGTTACGTTTTCGACGCACTAAACTTTGGTTATCTCGGAAGCTAAAGTAGCTAGAAAGTTCGTTCAAACGTCAATCGACGCAGTTCATCATGCTCTATTTATGCTGTGAAAATGAAGTGCATTGGGCTTTGAGAAGGATTTTTAGTGTCGCGTCACGGCATTACGAAAAAAGACCCTTTTTTCGAGCGTTCTTAGGAATTCTTTAATTTCCTGTGAACTTAATTATGTGAAAAGGAAACTTCTAGAGCAAAATTTATAGAGTAATTGACGGGCTATCAGATGGTAAAAAAAATTTCTTCTAGCGCTTTTCCCTAGGGAAAAAGATGCAAAACAAAAACGTCACGGCGTTGCGCACTTTTTTGTCAAACATATTTGAGGTACTTAACACGATGGTAAAGTTTTGATTTTCACAGCTTCCTGTGTTCTTTGTATGTTTGATCGATCTGCGCAAAAATCAAGTTGCTGTATCAAAATAAGAGCTCAAAAACTGGACAGTAAGTCGGAAAAGGTACAACTATGTATAAATTGTACATAGCAAGTAAACTCAAAAACAAATACACCATTTTGTAGAGAATTCAATTCTCTACAAAAGCATAGTTTTAGAAATCTGTTTAAAAAATGTTTTTGGTTAAAACATTAAAAATCCGGTTTCTGAAGAGTTCAAAACCAGGTTTTGGGGATGAAAATGAACTTTTTTGAAAAACGAGTTTCAAACGGGTTCTTAGAATAAAAAACTGCATCTAATCATGTGTTCAAAACTTCGATATCGAAAAAAAAATTTTCAAAAACTTGATCAGCGAAGTGTACCGTTACGTGGACAAGCCGTCGGGTTGGGCCGGACCGAACTTAGAATGTTTAATCATGCGTGGATTTGTAATTTATGAGTATACTCGGTACCGAGAAATCATAAAAATATAAATATTAGCTTGAGAAACACATTTACACTGCTTAGTCAGCAAAGTATTACAGATGCAAAAAGAAAATCACACAAAGTGGTCCGACCGAGCCGGGCCGGAAAAGTTTCACGATTCATCGGGCCGGGTCAAATAAATTATACGTTTAGTCGGGCCGAGCCGGGCTTGGTCCGAAAAGTTTGATCATCGGACCGGACCAGGCCAAAAATTTTCGGCCCGTACGGATCTCTGATGTACATGTGGATTTAATTATACGACACACAATTTCTGTTGAAAAAGTTTTTTCTTAAAACTGAGTACTACATGAGTTTCAATTACAATAGAAAATTTTAAAAGGAAAACGGTATGTTATTTATACTTAAGTACTTTCATATTAGATTACAGTATTGATCGACGAGTTGATGTTTATTTGATCCAATGGATATTTGTTTATCTTGTAAATCTCGTTATGAAATATGGTTGAAATCTACACCATGTCGTATTGTTGGTGTTATTTGTGCTGTTGTCATTATACCGATAAATTCATCAAAATTAATTAATTTATCACGATTTAAATCGGCTAATTTGACCATTTCTTTTGTTTCACGATCCGTAACAGGTAAACCAATTATTTTCATGACGATTCCTAATTCTTCTGCATCAATAACACCATCTAGACAAATAGAGTAAAAAAAATCTAGTTTAAATAAGTTGATACCTCCTCTACGATATATTTTTCTTTATATGAAATAATATTTTACCTTTGTTAACATCAAAACATTCGAATGCTACTTTCCAATCGATTTTTCTTAATGCTTCTTCTTCTAGTTTAATATTTTCTTCATATTCAAGTATTAATAATGAAAAATGTTCAAAATCCAATAAACCTTGAATAAAATTTATTCCATTCTCCATTAACTCGTAATTAGCTAAAAAGTCGTAAAATGAAGATTTCATCAAGGTATTTTCTTGAATATCATCGTAGCCATACAATTTAAGAGCACTACTCATTTTTTCAACTGGTATTGGTTGACCATTATTTAGCGTATTAAATATTTTACGTAATCGACGAAGTTGATCTGATGGTATATTTGGATGTTGTTTTGATAATTGTTGAAGTTTTGAAGATTTTTTTAATATAATTCGACTATTTATCGATGTATGATTACCAACGCTTACTGGACGAGTAGGTGTACCACGAAATGTACGGATGTTCGGAGAAGTCGTTGGTGAATCACGACTGAATCGACTCATAACTAATTATCAAATGGTTGCTATGCTATTGACAATTGAGTGTGTGATGTGTGCAAAACATTTTGTCATTCTTTCGTTTAAAAAAGAAAAAAAGTGAAAAAAGAAAATTTGAACAATCAATTCAACATAATTAATAGTTTAAAGAGAATAAGATCGATGGCTCAAAGTATTATCACACATATTAAATAGAAACAATTCTAATATGAAAGTAGAGGAGAAAGCATAACAATATTTTAACAAAATAACCAATCATGATGATTTGGAGGGCGACAACGTTTTGGGCATTGTTTATATTTTGATAAATCTAATTGTTCTGTTTCTTTCGTTGACAGACAACAAGGTTTGGTACATCCGACAAAACATGTTGGAGATGATCGCCTTGATGGAAATGGTCTTGTTAATTCCATGCGCCATATCCATTTAGACCATGTACATATATAACTATCATGTACAATAGAATCATGTTTAGCTAATGGATAAATATATTCATTTAAAAATGTTTGATCACCTGCATCAGAAAACTTTTCAATTAAATTATCTGATAAAAAATATTTAGCTAAATTTGTAATCGAATTAATTGGATCATTTTGACGTCGTTGAAAACCCCACATTCCACCAAGTATTGGAATATTATGAACTGGATTATCACGCATTATATGATACGTTTTTGTTGTATTTAACCATTCATTAACAGCATCAATTTCACGATCAGTTAATGGTGAATCAATATCTCGAACCATTAAATAATCTACATAACGATCAATTATTGGTAAAAAACGTTGTATTTTACCTGAAATAAAAATGGGAAAATTAGAAATTGTCTATTCTATTCATATGTTTATTTTATTTGAAACAATTTTATATTACCAGGGATATACTTTTTAATATTGTCTAATATTGGTATATGTTCTGAGTTACAAAAATCAACATTATTATATTTTAATTCTAATTTTAGAATATCATCAACTGTTTTATCTAAATTAAAATAGTACACACGTACAATCCACTGTGGATATTTTTCACGAGCATTTTCAATAAATTCACTTAAATATTGCCATGTAAAGTTTGTTAAATGAATATTATCCGTTGAATGATAAGCAGAAACACTTATAATTTTTTGTTTAAAACCACGTTGTGTTGAACGTTGACTACACAATGTTTCCGTAGAATTTAGTAAAAATGAATAATCTGAATATAGTGAATGATTTGATAGCGGATAAAGTAGTGAAAAATGTAAATTAATGAAAAATGATATACCGAGAAATACGAACAATAATAATAGTAAATTTCGTCTCCACGACTGTGTTTTAGCACCAGATGTTCGTTTTGTACAATTAGCTAGTGATAAACGTGAGATAAATGATACATTTTTATGTCTTATATTCATATTAATCTAGAAATAGTTTAAAATCTATTCACATTTAGAATGATCTATTGCATTCTTCAACATATAAAATCTACACATCATTCTACGCAGACTACTGTCTATTAAGGGCCCACCCCCCTCAGAAATGGTGATTTTCGGTCAAAACATCGGTTTTGAGCTAAGCACCTGGGAAGATAGCCTGTAGTGTCTACTTTCAGAATCTGTATCGCTTTTGGTTACAAAAGTGGTTTTTCGCGGATTTTGAGCAAGTTTTCTAGCAGCCTCGAAAAAGTGGGTCTTCAAATAATAGCTTTTTCCTGGACACTTATGCAATTAAAATTTTCCTAAACACACAGATTTGTAGAGAAAACGTTTCTGATCAAAATAAGATATTGCACAACTCTGGATGATCTTGTATCAAAAAGTTACAAGCATTTTTCTAGAAGTTCTAAAATTGAGTATTCCATAAAACGTTTTCTCTATATAAGAGTTACACCTGAAGTATTTTCCAAGATTTTTTATAGCAGTTTGTCATAGAGAGTTTATTCTTTTTTTTGTTTAAAAGAGGAAAAGAAACTACATCGTCTGACCGGCACCGATTTTTTAATTAGGTGTTAGTTTTTTATCAAATTAAGGATTTTTAGAAAATTTCTGGTTTTAGAGGTTATTGGTTGCTTGGAAAATCAATAAAGGCTTAATTGAAAAATCGGCGCCGGTCAGACCATGTAGTTAGGCGTCTAGCTTAAAACAAAACAAACTCGAACTCTCCAGCTTGAAGTATGTTAACAAATATTGGGAAACACTTCAGGGTCCTTAAAGTAAAATTAGAATAAAATTTCGTTTTTCGACTGCGATCGACAGTGATGAAAAATCGGTGATATTAGAAGATGTTATAAAAGCGTTCGTTTCGACCGTTATAAAACGTGTAGAAAATTTCTTTTTTAGTACAACAATAGTGCCCTATCCTTACATTATAAAACTTTGAATAAACGAATAAAAACATAACCTTGCTTATTGGGTACAGTTTTTTCTAAAGTCGAAAAGGTTACGGAACAGTTTTCCAATACATTTTGTTCTAAGATTCTTGTGGTCTTCGGGAAACATTTTTCGGTCAGACACTTTCAAATATTTTTGTACTAGACACTTTGCTCTTTCTAACAAAAAGAGATAAAGTTTTTACGATATTCCATCGCAACGCTATATCAAAAACAAAATTAATGCAGAACTTTTGCCCCATCCCTTACTTTGAAGAAAGTAGACGTTAAAATTGACTTAAACACACTTTTATTACGATCAAACTTTGAAGATAAAAATAAATTCAAATTTGTCGACGATGCAGTATGTTAAGTACATTGTAAACACAAAGATATTCGGTTAGACTGTGTACACCTATTCTTTCTTATTAAACTATCATGATGATGCTCTCTTATACATATATATTTTTGCAGCTGCCGTTGTCTGTCATCAAAACAAAAAATCATTCACACACAGCATTCTATCTCTATTCAATGTTATCTGGTGCCATATTCCTTCATTTCTCTTGAAACTTGAAGCTGAACGTTTATTTTATGTTCAAGAAAACATCTCGTAAAAAAGGAAAGCCACAAGAGACCAAAGGCTTGTAAATATAGTGCCATCATGCAGAAAAGAGAACAACTGCGAGAAGAGAGTATAGAAGAAAAAACATCCCGGTAGAGCGCTACGCCCGTTGTACTCGCACATCACGCTTTGTACGCGACGTACGTTTCGATTGGTACGCATGACGAACGTGTGCCGAGCGTAACCTGATTTTCTCTCTCTACAGTTCCATAGTAACCTGTTTATCTGACATCCATGATAAACCTCTAAAAATGGTACATGGTGCGCATTGTACGCATAATATGTATTTTGTACAGAAAATGCGCATGACGTACGCGTATGTCACATGCACGTTGTGTACAGAGCTTGACGTGCGTGTACGACGGGCATCTGGTCTGATCTGGGCAATAACAAAAAACAAGTAATCTTCTAAGTTCTCAATCTTCTCCCTTCATTTATTGTATTACTTTTTTTTTGTATTGACTTTTTTTCCCATACAAAGATGGTATATTGAGTGATATAATACAATCTCAGATTGCGATTTTGCTCAGTGTACTATTCTTTTTCTTCTTCAAATAAAGGTTTATATAAGATCGTGGCTAATTCTGAAGACGTACCCTGCTGAAACGGAACAACAATTAGAAATTGTACGTGTATTTTCAGACAGACTATGATAAGGATTGTTTATGGAATATCGGGATCTGTAACTTCAAAGTCGCCACTATGGGTGAATGTACTCATTTTACCGATACTTTTCTACTATGAACTATGATGAATTTTATACCCTCTTCTATAATTATAGTACACGACGAATACCATAATCAACTATGGAATATTTTGGTTCTCTCACGATAGAGCATACCCTTCTATATGAAATTTTGATCTAATAATTTCGAACTTTCACAAGAATTAAACAGTAGGATAGGCTGTCAAAAAAACCTATTTAAACATGAAACTATGTGGAAAGTTTGCGATCGAGCTGTTTTTCTATCGACACTATATAGTATCTATGATAAAAATTTCAGATGTAAGTCATGTATCACTCATTCAAAGTTTACTGTTTTGATATCTGTTCAACAATAAAAAAAAAACTTCCTCATAAAATAAGTGGGATGCTTAATTAAATCTCATTTTAATAATAAGATAGTTCTATTGCATAGGAACATGGTAAATGTCGAAATATATGGTGTTTATAGACCTTTTTTTTGGAAGAATCAAAAAGAATTTTGAAGCATATATCTTCTTCTGTTCTTCGTCTTCAAGGACTAAATACTAAACAAAATTGGTGAATGATTTACTTTTCTTTAACGTCTTAAAATAAGACCTTTTTTTTGTTATAAGTCTCATGATAAGACAGATGCAGTCATTCATCTTAAACTAAGATGACAGCAAATAATTAAAACAAATTTTTTTTCGAATGAAAATTTCAATATCTGTGATGATTTTATAAAATCTGAATGTCTCGCAACAAATATGATACGATATTGTAACAAACTAGACATTCATTATTTTATTATTAGGTCTTATAAAAATCCTTTCGTCTATAAGTGCATATTATCGGTTCTTGAATACAATAAAAACTATATTTTCAAGCGTATTAATGATTAGAGCGATCATTTACACAATACAATAGTAATGTCCAAAAAAAGACAACAATGTATCGTCTTCTTACTTATTTACTTCCGTTCTATTTTTTACTACTATTTGACGTTAGATTGAGGAAAAATACGTATGATTTCTATTTCTTTTTTTGCTGAAGCTATAGTTCCATCATATGTATGTCTACCAAAAAAACGTTTTTTCTGTTTGTTTTTTCTCGCAAAATTCTATTCTAGGCGTTCTTTATCTAACATGATCATAGAAGTATTGAGTAGAAAAATGTGCGTGAGACACACAACAACAGAACAATGAGTACATAATTGAAGAAATAAAAGAGACATGTTTGCATTTTATTAAGGAAAGTAAATATCTATATGTGATGGATTCATAAACCAAGTTTAGTCTATGGTAAATAAAAGTAAAAAAGTGGAGAAAGGACCCCGCCAGGTAAGATCGAAAATCTTCTATGCAAAATATTTATATTTGCTTATCAATTTTATTTCTTATGATTTGAAAAAGATTTGACAAAGTATTCACAATCTATCACTATGAAAAAATATCAACAGGGCATAAGTTCGTCAAATGTTAAATTGACATATATCAAACTTTGTTAGAAATATATGAAATCACTTTTTTTTCCTCTAAGAATAGTTTCTTTCGTTATTATAATATTAGGTACAGTCTACAATGCATGAACTAACTCAATTTCAATGAAATAGTATTACAATATTTGTTAACAAAGAAGGTTAAAGTATATATTTGTTTTACTTCAGAAATTATGATTAATTATTATTAATGAAAATATAACAACGCATGCTGAATACGAATGATTCATATGATCGAAGTGTAGTTTTAATATTTTTTTACATAAATATGCATCTTCTTTGTTCTTTGTCCACAAACATTATGATATAATATTGAATGAATATAATTCCATTGTGATAAATAAGCTATCTCATTTCTTCATTATGTCTATTTGACTACCTCTGTTCATTTATTGAAAACTGTCACTAATTTATTCGCCGGTGGCCTATTAATCAAAACGAATTAATTCACTCTATATCAAACAGTCAGCATTCTTAGTGTATCTAGAGTAACATAACAGATTTTACACTGAACAAATCTGGTATATGTTATATGTAATCAATATAAACATTTTAAAAACTTACTGATTTGCCATAACAAAAAATTTAAATAGTGCATATTGAAGAGCATAAAAAGATCTTCAAAATGAAGTATAACATTGCCATTACTCGTACATATTTACTGACTTCTTTCTCATTCAGCCTCCTCCAATTCAGTTATATTGAACCACTTTGGATGCTAACGTATTTTCCATTTGTTTTGAACAGTTATGTGATATACTGTTTAACTCACACTACGATCACACTACAGCCTTAATCACGATTAAAGTTAATCATAATTAACGATTTTGTAGTGTGCTCGCATCCTTTTTTAGTCACGATTAGAGCAGCCATACTACATTTAATCGCGATTAAAACTTACCCAGGTCGGGCGGCACGGCAGTTGTACATGGACGTCACGTACACTTGATCTCCATCACGGTTGGTACATATAACGAAAATGTATGCACGGTACGCGTACCGAATGTGACATGATTTTCTCTCTCTACAGTTCCATAGTAACCTGTTTATCTGACATCCATGATAAACCTCTAAAAATGGTACATGGTGCGCATTGTACGCATAATATGCATTTTGTACAGTAAATACGCATGACATACGCGTATATCACGTGCACGTTGTGTACAGAGTTTGACGTACGCGTACGACGGGCATCTGGTCTGATCTGAGCAATAACAAAAAAACAAGTAATCTTCTAAC